TGGGCTTTAAGGTCCCTTCCAACCCAAAGCATTCCAGGATTCCATGACTAAGCAGGGCTTGGGTCGGGCTTAATGCCACCAAAACAGCAAATGTAAAAACTCCTTTATTAGACAGAAATTAGAATTAGACAGAAATTAGAAAATGTTTTGTTGGACTTCAGCGACACCATTAGTGGGAGCAGGGGGAGGGGAAAGGGTTAACTGAGACTGTTGGGTTGAGATTGTGGGGTTGAGGCCAAATTTGGTGTCTAATGGGAACAAAGGGCTCCCACAGGCCAGAAAATGCAAAATGCAGCTTTTGGCTCCGGGGGATGGGCCCAGAGCTGTTTCCAGGAAGGAGGCTGATGGTGCATCTTGGCTTTATCTGTTTTAATCTGTACCAGAACACTTAGAAAAGTATCAGAACTGCAGATCCCGAGCACGCGCCGCCAGGGGTTTACAAAACATCCGCGTATCACAAAGTACGGGAACCTCAAAGCCCTGCTTCTCCAGTGGGGATCCCAAAAGATTCCTCTCTGTTTGTGTGTGTATATATATATATATATATATTTATATTTCTTCACTTAGCTTACACTGATGCAAAAAAACCAACTCATTTCAGTGCCTTGCAAAAAAAAATGCACGAGATATTAAATAGAACTGGGTCAAACAAGCATTGCAGAGGCTGCGGGTCCCCCACGACCCGGCTCGTGAGAAGCAAGAATTCCACCCGCTGCTTCCATGTGCCACAGAAATTACTCACAAGTGTGGGTTTTATGAAGCATCTTGCATCCCAGGCTTGTTTTTCCTGGTGCTGTGACTCTATGATTCACCTGATTTAAGTCTCTTGCTAAGTGCTTGACCCGCCCTGAGCATCCTTTTGGCTGCATTTTAACTTCCTCTAGGTCAAGGTGCTGGAGTATGAGTGTGACTTGTCACCTGTAGCATCCAAAATAGCCTTTTCTCAGGCTGTAACACCCCATTTTGGGGGTATTTTGGGCATTCAGCAGCACTTTTTGCCTTTGGCAGGCTGAGAAAGACCGACCGGCGCTTCAGCCTTGCCGAGGGGGGGAATAAAAAATGACTTTATTTTGGTGTGTTGCTGCAGGAGGGTTTTGCAGCATGCAAAGGTGTGGGAATATGTACATGGGGAAGGGGTTTCTTTTAGGATTAAAGGGTTAAAATTGCAACCTGGCAGCTTGTTGCTTGAAAACCCCATATCTGCCCCTATCCGGGGGGATAGAGGTGCTTGGGTGCCCCAGGGAAAGGGGTGGCAGCGGGACTGAGGGGGTTAAATAAAACCCTGCTCATTAGCAAAGGGCATTTTTGGAGATGCTCTTGCAAGGATGCCAAGGAGAGGTCCCCTCTGCCTGGTCCCTCTCGGGGTGGCCCCGAGGAGGAGGAGGTGGTGAAGGCCATGTTTTTTGGGGTACATCCAGCTGTCCTGCCTCACTGGGGACGTGTTTGGAGCGGAGAAGGAAATTTTCATCCAGTTGCCTAAACCAGAGACAACCCCAAGGAAGCAATGGGGGTAAACCCCAAGGGGGTGATGGAGGTGAACCCCAAGGGGGTGATGGAGGTGAACCCCAAGGGGGTGATGGAGGTGAACCCCAAGGAGGTGATGGAGGTGAACCCCAAGGAGGTGATGGAGTGAACCCCAAGGAGCTGATGGAGGTGAACCCCAAGGAGCTGATGGAGGTGAACCCCAAGGAGCTGATGGAGTGAACCCCAAGGAGGTGAGGGGAGCGCCGGCGCCCGTGCGCCCCAAGGGCTCTTCACCGACGACGACCGCAAGCAAGAACGGGGAGGGCGGGGGGTCCCCCCGGGGACACGGGTGACATCTCAAAGCCGTGGGATCCCGGGACCCATCAGTGCATGGCGAAGAGGACGAGGAGCAGGAGGGCGGCGAGCGAGGCGTCGGCGAGGTGCAGCCGGATGCCGTTGGCCAGGCGGTACTCGCGGTACTGCTGGATGCACATCTCCCGGATCACCTTGGTCACCACCCTGTTCTCCAGCTCCACCTCCGTCTGGTTCACGGCCTGCCCGGCGTCCGAGGCGTTCTTCTTGGCGGCGGGGCCGATGCTGTGCTCGGTGACGGTGATGTTGAAGCAGTCGGCCACGAAGACGTCCTGCGGGACGTAGCCGCCGTAGTCGCGGTAGTACACCTGGTTGGGGTAACGCGCCGAGTTCTCGTTCCACCAGCGGTACTCGTCGGGGCTGTCGAAGCGGTAGTGCATCCCCGACATGGCCCTGCCCATGGCGTAGCCCCCCAGCCCC